GTGTCTTTTCATCTTAATAAACTTTTTACTCTTCTTGCCAACCTGGTGTCTTGCTCTGGAATTCTTTCTCATGGCAAAGCCAGGAACCCAGACAAGAGTCAAGGTCTCTTCTTTCTGCCCCTGTCTCTCTCCTCTGTCTCCCTCTTCCTTCCCTCCCCTCTCCTCCCCTCCCTCTCCTCCCCTCTCTTCCCCTCCCTTCCCCTTCTCTCTCTCTCTCTCTCTCTCTCTCTCTCTCTCTCTCTCTGTTAAAGAGATCTCTCTGGCAACAATATAAGTCAATCTATTCACCTAATTTTTGTTGGATACCCACAATGTACAAGGTTATGCTAAGTGTCACAGGAGACACAAAGATCTCTAATTCATGATCTCTTCTGATGAGAAACATATCTAGTTGAAGAAAGAGATACATAAATGAACTGATATCATTAAATGGGCCTGCTTTCGGGTGTCAGATCCATATGTGTTCCAATTCCAGCTATAGGGCTCAGCTTGTGTATATTTAAAATGATTTCTATTTTATTATATATTTTATTTATATTATATTTTGTTATTATATATTTTATTTATATTATTTTTATTTTATTACAATTATTATTTAAAATAATATTTACAATAAAATATAATTATAGATAAAAATTAATGTGAATGCAATAATAAGTCAACTTCAAAGAGCAAAGGAGCATGAGGAAAGCAATGACGAACTCTGTTTAAGGAAGTTTCCTCAAAGAAGGTAACCTTTCAGTTGGATTGAACAGATAAAAAAGAAAAAGAGGGCCATCTCAGGTAGAAGAAACTCATGTAGGAAGGCATAAAAAACATGATCAAACTGGTTAACGTGTTGAAGGGAGGGTGAAAAGAGATTGGAGAGGTGGTGAAGTTTAGTTATAAAATGATTAAGAAGAGTGAAAAGAGTTGTTAGTCAAAAGGAAAAGGCAGGATATGTGTAGTATTCATATATCCAACAAATCTGTTATAAAATAGCAGTCTTGTCACAATCTCAGCTGCCCTTTCATAAACTAAAGCCCTCACATGTCAACAATAGTAATAAAAATAACTGTTGCTAAACTCCAAAAGGCACCCTTCACATATTACTCTGCATTAATAGCATCCTCTGAATTTATGCAACACCAGCATGGACCCATGTGAAGTATATTCATTTATCCATGAGGATGCAGAATAATGAGTATAGAAGCGAGACCTACATACTTGCTTACGGTCCAATCGATGTACATGAAGATTCTTCTTAGTGTTCAGGCACCGTCTCATCCTGTCCAGGCGCAGTTCCTATGCCCCTTTTGTACTATCTTCTTTTCAACCAAATGCATCTTATTCTTGGCTAATTTTATATCTCCCATCTCTGGAAAAAAGGAGCAGTGGTGTTAGATTCATGATGTAATGGCTCTTTGGAGGCTGTTCATATTGAAACAAATACATCTTCTTGCCTCTACAGCTCTCTGTTCTCATTTATTTAATTTTAAGCTAGTTGCATCATTAGTTATGATGCTGCATCATCCTTCATGTCACCCTTAATTCTGGTTTCCAATGACTCCCTGAAAGTTACTACTGTGCTTCACTGATGACAAATACAAATGCAAGTCTCTGGTCATGTTAAATTTACTATTCACAATTCCTTAACATAAACGTAGCACAGCACATCTTTCAACCATATTTTCTCTTGAACTCTTAAGCCATAATCACTGCATTTATAGAATGTGAACTTTTCTTGTTAGTTACACCCCTATCTTCCACACAGAGCCACTGACAGGAAGAATAGGTAAGGAGTCTGTGGTGGAGCAAGAAGTGTGATTACATTTTTGCTTAATGGGGCTTAAAACCAAACAAGAGAAGCAATGTGAAACCACATTGGTGGAGGCAAGAGAAGACATCAACTAGAAGGGCTCTCTGGCATAACAGAGCAGTGGTCTCCAAAGTCCTTGAAAAAGAAAGGGATGGCCACCTTGAAGACTGCATGACACCTAATGTGGAGTTTGTAGAGAAATGGAGTGACCACCCTGGGTGCCAGTGGCAGGAATGCACAGGGTAGAGGATACCTGCCACCAACCCTGCCACATTTACATGCTGTAGACATAGGCTACTCTAGAGGTACAGACAGGAGAGAGTTGCTGGGTAGCCCACACATGCAGCTCAAGCTCAAGGGTGAGTCAAAGGCCAGAGCCCTAGACTCATCTCATGTTCAGTGTGAGAGTCACCCCAGATCATCTGTTATAACTTCACAGAATAGGGAAGGACAAAAAGTGGAGCTGACTTAATTAACTTTGAAAAATGATATTTTGACTGGAAACTATAAGGCTAAAGACAAAAGAAACTGCTCATAAATACTTTAGTTGTTAAATTTTATTTTCATGGAGGTATGGGCCCATAATTCTGAAGTATCTTTACATGCTGCCTGCAGTTGAACAAATAATTAAATGGAGGGTGGAGAGTGGAGAGTCGGAGACAAGTTTCTTGCTGTAAAAGAAGGAAGTTACACATAGACATCGGGGGAGGCTAGCATGAGCCCTGTGGTTCTGGATTAGAGTAAGACATTGGTATGAAATCATATTTACCCAGAAAGATAGATACATAGATACAGAAATAATTACAGACATGTGTGTGTGTGTATAAACGATTAGTATGTATACTTGCAATTCTTAGCTCTGTTTTCTGAGAGGATCTAGAAGCAGTGACACCCATTGACGATGAGCAAGCCAGCACTCAGATCTTTGTTTGTAAAATCATTCTTTACCGATCTCTTTCTTATTGTATTATGGTAAATGTTCAGGGTCCACTTATGAGTGAGAACACGTGGTACTCAGTTCTTTGTTTCTGCCAGGGAAGGGAGAGGAGGCACATAACATCAATAAGGGTACCAGATCTCAAACCAGGTGAAGTGGGGACCAAAGGGAGGCCCAAAGTTTACCTGTACGATGACCACTTATATACCTAGATCTGAATTATATCCCACATCTTTAAAATAAAAACGTTTAAAAAATTTTTCTAATAAAAAAACTGAGGAAGGGAAATTATAAGATGAGCCTGAAGCATCTCACAGTGCCAGAAAGTAAAGAAGTGTTCAAAAAACAAAGGAAACACACATGTCAAAGGGATACCAGAGCCAACCTGAAAGGAGCCCAAAGGCCAAAGTGAGAATCATCTGAGCAACTAAATAATTGAACCCCTGAATTACAATCCAAGGTATAAAATAAATATATGTGAGTTTAGACTCATATAAATAAACAGTTGAATAAGTAACAAATCTTTTTTATGGAAGAATTCTAAATAAGATATATATCTCTTTGCTGCTCATATGTCTTCTTTTGAGAAGTCTCTATTCATGTCCTCGGCCCATTTGGCTGCTTGTTTTGTTTTTTGTTGTTGTTGTTGTTGTTTTTCCTTTCAACTAATTTGACTTCCTTGTAGGTCATCAGTGTGGGCCTTTGTCAGATACACAATTAGCAAATATTTTTTCCAATTATCTCCCTGCCCTTTTAATGGCTTCTTCAGCTGTGCAAAACCTTTTCAATTTGATGAGGTCCCACTTGTCTTTTTTGTCTCTTATGGCATACATTTTGAGGATTTGATCAAGAATTGGTCACCAGCAGGGCTCGGTGGCTCAGCCTGTAGTCCCAGCACTTTGGGAGGCGGAGGAGAGTGAATTGCCTGAGCCCGCAGGCTCGAGACTAGCCCGGGGAACTTGGCGAGACCATGACTCTACAATAATTTTTTTTTTTTTTTTAATTAACTGGGCGTGGAAGCGTGCCTGTAGTTTTGGCTACTTGGAAGCCTGCAGCGGAAGGATCACTAGAGCCTAGCAAGTTGGCGCTGGCATGGCTGTGAATGTGCCTCTGCACTCCAGCCTAGGCGTTGGAGTGAGACTCCAACTCAAAAAAAAAAAACAAAAGACAAAGAATTGGTCACCTACTCCAATATGCGTAAGGGTGTTTCCTGTGTTTTCTTCTAAGATTCTTATAGTTTGAGGTTTTTACATTTGGATCTTTGATATACTTAGAGTTGATTTTTGTGTATGTTGATAGGTAGGGGTCCACTTTCATACTTCTGCATGTGGTCAGCCAGCTTTCCCAGCACTATTTATTAAATAAGGTCTCCTCTCCCCAGTGGTTGCTATTTATGGCTTTGTCGAAGATGAGTTGGTTAAGAGATCAAGTTTTTTGCTTTCAAAATCTCTGTCCTTTTCCATTGGTCTATATCCTAGTCTTGTACCAGTACATAAAAAAAGTTCAGTCTCACCAATCATCCAAGAAATGCAAATTAAAACCATACTGAGAAACCACCTTATCCCAGTAAGGATGGCCATCATTAATAAATCAAAAAACAGGGGCACATCTCATCAACAAGGGTACCTGCATAATGAACATTTGTATATCTAACCCTGAATTATACCCCACATCTTTAAAATAAAAAAATTAAAAGTTAAAAAAATCAATCAATCAAAAAACAAAAAGCTGATATGGGTGAGAAAAAAGGGGAAACTTCCACATTGTTGTGGGTATGCAAACTAGTCCAACCTCTATTGAAAATAGTGTGGCAATCTCTTTAAAAAACTAAAAATTGACCTCTCTTATGACTCAACAATCCCCCTCTTGGGACTATGCCTGGAGGAACACAATTTGTTCTACCAGAAAGACACTTGCACACACATATTTATTGCTGTACTATTCACTATTGCGAAAACATGGAACCAACCCTACTGCCCAAAAAGTACTTGTACCAGTACATAAAAATGCCCCAGGTGTATTCCCAAACTAAGAAGGATATTAATGACTAAGTATGTAAATTCATAGACAAAAACCTGATATGTCTATAAATTCATAAACAAAATTCTGGGAGATCTGTACATTTATAGACAAAGGTATGATATGAGTGGTTACCTATGGGAACAGGGAAAAGAGGCCCAGCATAAAAATCTTTTTTTTTTTTTTTTGTAAGAAAATTTTGCCCTCCAACTTTTGCACATCATTGACTTCATATGCCTGAATCACTCCTCACTGTACATGTCTCCAGATCTCCTAATCCCACCCCCCAATAAGCCTTCTTATACTTTTCAGGCACGGTAATCCTAAACCATCTTAAACTTCTTCTAGGATCACTTTTTTTCCTTAGTTCAATGAACTACCCTTATAACCATCTCCATATCCTTTGGTCCTCACTATTTCTCATAGCATCCCAGTAGAAAAGAAAAGCATGTTTTATGTGCCTTACCTATACCACCATTTTTGTTCTTTTATTCAGAATTACCATCATGTTAAAATATTATTTTCAATGTTTAGAATCCATAACCATTCATGAATGAGAGAATATTGGAACTTTCACGGAACCTACAAAGTTTTCAGGGTGGCAACACCCCTTGAGAAAATACCAGTCCTGGACCACTATGTCAGATTCTTTTCATTTTTTTATTAATTGTAGCACAGAGAAAAGAGGCAAATTGTTTAAGGAAATTTGTGTTCTTTAGACAGAGTATTGGCTTTACACCAACAGAAAAGAAAAACAGATGGATAAGCTCTGGGTCTTCATTTCTCCTCTTACTCTCCCAGAAGGCTGAAAAACAAAGAACAAATATAAGTACTGTTTACTAAATGACATGTATTTTCAAATCTATTGAAATGGATACCAAATTGCTTAGATTGTCTTTCTGTTATTTCCACTAGTGAAAACAATTTTAAACCTGTCTGAGACTCACGGTAGCTGGATTCTCCTTCTGTTGGGCTAGGGGGCAAGGACACACCAATAAATGTGAAGTTTCTGCCTCATCATTGGTCCCATCACATTCCTCTGGCTTCATAGTCAGAAGCTTTTCATCATCATTCCCCAGAGTTATTTAATTAACACCTACGTCTTACCTAAGTTATTGCAACCAAAAGGTATCTTCTCAAAGTTAGAACCCTAACTTAGTACCCAAAAAATCACATTTTGAAGCATCCAAATTTATGAATCTTGGCTCCACCTCTCACTAGCTGGGTGGCCCTTTGGAAAATTACTAAACCTATGTTTGATCTGTACCTTCATTTTCTCATCTACAAAATGAGAACAATAATGGTTCCCAACTCTGCCACTATTTTGAGGATTTTTAAAGTTATATATATAATATTTAGAGGAGTGATTAGTGCTGATCTTTATGGCTCTTGGCAATGGTCAATCTTTGCTATTTTAATAATAACTAGTATAATTTTTTTAAATGTAAAGTATATTTACCTGAGATGCTTGAAATTGTGATGTTTTTAGGCTAAGGCTGCTTGACTTTTAGCCACAAGTTTTGGACCCTAAGAACAAAGAAATGATTGATGTTAGGAAATATTAGCATTGCTGTTAGGATAAAAAGTTAACCTTTATACAGCTATGGGTATTTGCAGAATGAGTTCACAAACATCACATCCTTTAATTCCAATTCACTACTATAATCTCTAGAAGGAAGCTCATAGATATCCATTATCCTCAAAGGAATAAAAAAGAATTACTGTCAGGCCACAGGGGGCAATATTAAATGATTTAGACAGTTGAATATAAATTTTCCAACTAACCTGTAAAATCAACCAAATCACAAGCCACCATTTTTCAAGAAAATGTTTCAATAAAATAATGTTTTGATTTAATGATTACAACATTTCAGACTGTCCAAATATTTCTATCTATATTCATAAGCATCAGAAATTTGGAAACAGAAACATTTAATAATATGCTACAGCATAGCAGGAGATAAATACCAAGAACTATTTTATTTACGTTGCAAGATAATTGTATGTAGAATAAGATCTGTGTGCCACACATACAGAGTGTCCTTCAATATATAAATCCCTAAGCCCTAACCTAAGCAAACATGCAAAAATAAAAACTAGATGCATTAAAATGACGACCGGTCCAGTACCTCCTCTGCAAAGCAAGCTTCCTTGTTTTCAGCCTTGCAGCACTTATCTACAAAAACTGTGAAGTCTCCCATAACATCTTTCAGTTGCTCTTCTGTTGCCTTGGGCTTGTGTTTCACCAGCTCAACAAGTGCACTGAATTTGAGGGGGGGAAAAAAGATGGGACAAACATTACTCACACAAAGAAAAGTGGACGTGGTAAGGATGACAGTGCTATTATCAAGATTATAAGTCTTGGAGCCAGGCAATTCTGAGTAGTCTGAGACTTAGGCATACCACTATAAGCCTGAACCTTCTCAACTGCCTAATGAGGATAATGAAATCCACCTTCATAGAGTTGGTGGGAAGAGCAAATGGAACAATTAGTATAAATTGTTCAACACCTTATGTAGTGACAATAAATCTCTTTCCAGTAAATCTCCAGAAAGGATTGTGTCATTATATTTATATATTATTCTGATTTTGGATGTGCCATTTTATGTCATACTGAATTTCGTAGCTATTTGAGACTAAAAACTTAATGATCTTGAACTTTGCTTAAAAATTTCTCGTCTGAGAATATTTTTATTTAGTTTCTGACATTTTTCCCATTCAGAGTTCATAGTGGGGAAGCTGTAGAAAATAAGACTATCCAGACTCATGGGAGATGATGGTTCTCTTTCATTGACATCTGTAAATACAACAATGCCAGTGAGAGAGAGAGTTGTGAGGGCATGATAGGTTTTGCAATGTTACTCTTAAGTCTAGACCATGATTACAGCCCACCAGAGATTATAGCAACTTCCTACTGCTAAACATAATGCAATTCTTTTTTTTTTTTTTTTTTT